GTCCCCGTGTCCCCAGCACTGTCCCCAGGGCTGTCCCCGTGTCCCCAGCACTGTCCCCAGGGCTGTCCCCGTGTCCCAGGGCTGTCCCCAGGGCTGTCCCCATGTGTGTCCCCAGGGCTATCCCGTGTCCCCAGGGCTGTCCCCTGGCTGTCCCTGTGTCTCCATGTGTATCCCCATGTGTGTCCCCATGTGTGTCCCCATGTGTGTCCCCTGGCTGTCCCGTGTCCCCAGGGCTGTTCCCATGTCCCCATGTGTGTCCCCAGGGCTGTCCCCGTGTGTGTCCCCTGGCTGTCCCGTGTCCCCAGGGCCGTCCCCGTGTGTGCCCCCTGGCTGTCCTCGTGTCCCCAGCACTGTCCTCAGGGCCCAGGGCTGTCCCCAGGGCTGTCCCCATGTGTGTCCCCAGGGCTATCCCGTGTCCCCAGGGCTGTCCCCTGGCTGTCCCTGTGTCTCCATGTGTATCCCCATGTGTGTCCCCATGTGTGTCCACCCTGGCTGTCCCGTGTCCCCAGGGCCATCCCGGTGTCACTCACGTCGGCGGGGGCCGCGTCCTCGGGCGGCAGGAAGTAGTGGGTGACCATCATGGTGGTGCCCTTGATGACCCCCACGTCGAACCACTGGTTCTCCTTCTTGGGCAGCGCCTTGGGCGGCGCCCCCGGCTCCGGCTTCTGCCACGCCACGGGGAAATTGGGATTTTGGGGGGGAATTGGGGGATTTATGGGGGAAATTGGGGGATTTTGGGGGAATGGGGGGATTTTATGGGGGAAATTGGGGGATTTATCAGGGGAGATTGGGGATTTGGGGGGAATTCGGAGGATTTTATAGGGGAAATTGGGGATTGGGGAGAAATTGGAGGATTTATGGGGGGAATTTGGGGGGAAATCGGGGGATTTTGGGGCAGAGGGGGGACGGGTCAGGGGTGGGGATGAATGGATCCTGTGGGGTCACCCCAAAATCCACCCCACGGGGTCACCCCAAAATCCATCCCATGGTGTCATTGGGGTCACCCCAAAATACACCCTGGGGGTCACCCCAAAATCCATCCCATGGAGTCATTGGGGTCACCCCAAAATTCACCCCATGGGGTCACCCCAAAATCCATCCCACGGGGTCATCCCAAAATTCACCCCGTGGGGTCACTGGGGGCACCCCAAAATCCATCCTGAGGGGTCACTGGGGTCACCCCAAAATCCACCCCATGGAATCATCGGGGTCAGCCCAAAATCCATCCAATGAGGTCACCCCAAAATCCACCCCATGGGGTCATCAGGGTCACCCCAAAATCCATCCCACGGAGATCATCCTAAAATTCACCCCGTGGGGTCACCGTGGTCCCCACTGTGTGACCCCCATAACCATGGGACCGAGACCCCAGTGACCACCCCCAAACCCTCCCAGGAGCCCCCAAATCCCCCCAGGACCCCCAGACCCTCCCCAGACTGACCCACGATCCCCTGCAGCACGGCCTGGATGGCCAGAGCCTGGGCCTGGGGTGACCACCATGGGACCAACACCCCAATGACCACCTCCAAGACTTCAGTGCAGCTTTGCCACTCCAAATCCCCTCCCCCAGTGTCCCCAGGCCGCTCACCGGCACGGCCGGCCCCGGTGCTGGCGTGGACTGAGTGACCGTGGTGACCGCCCGGGGCTGGGGGGTCCCGCTGCCGCTGGGGCCGGGGCTGGGGGTCCCGGGGGGCACAGGGGGACCCCCGCCCTCGCTGGGGGGGGTCTCCCCCTCCCCCTGCCCGTTGGCAGCCGGCGGGGGGGGCTCTGTGGGGACAACGGGGAGGGGTCAGCGAGGCGACCAGCCCAAAGTGAGGGCAGAGGGGACGATTTGGGGACAGTCCGGGGGTCACCTTGGCTGGCGCCCATGCTGGCGGTGACCGTGGTGGCCGTGGCCGTTGTCCCCGTCTCGTGGGTCTCGCAGGGGGGGTTGGAGCAGGCGCGGGGGGGGCTGGTGGCGGTGGCACAGGGCGGGGGCGGCGTCACCCCCTCGGTGGTGGCCGTGCTGGTGGCCCCGCCCTGGTGGCTCTGGCAGGGCGAGGACCCCGCTCTGGTGGCCGTGCTGGTGGTCCCGCTCTCGGGGGTCTCGCAGGGGGGGTTGGCACAAGGCGGGGACCCCCCCGTGCTGGAGGTGGCGGCGCTGGTGGCAGCGCTGGTGGCCGTGGTAGTGTCACCCGGCCGGGAGCCCGCGGTGGCCGTGGTGGCCGTGTTGGTGGTCCCGGTCTCGTGGGTCTCGCAGGGGGGGTTGGAGCAGAGCTGTGACGATGTCATTGTCACCGTGTTGGTCGTCCCCGTCTCGTGCGTCTCGCAGGGGGGGTTGGCGCAGGGGGGGACACCCCGAGGCGGTGGCACCGCTGTCCCCGGCTCGGCCGGGGGGCGAGAGGTGGCCGTGGTGGTGGTGGCCGTGCTGGTTGTCCCCGTCTCGTGGGTCTCGCACGGGGGGTTGGAGCAGAACCGCGTCCCCGTGGTTGTCACCGTGTTGGTTGTCCCCGTCTCGTGGGTCTCACAAGGAGGGTTGGCACACAGCCGTGTCCCCGTGGTTGTCACCGTGTTGGTTGTCCCGGTCTCGTGCGTCTCACAAGGAGGGTTGGAGCAGGGTGGCCTTGGTGCTGTCACTGTCACCGTGTTGGTTGTCCCGGTCTCGTGGGTCTCGCAGGGGGGGTTGGCACACAGCCGTGTCCCCGTGGTTGTCACCGTGTTGGTTGTCCCGGTCTCGTGGGTCTCACAAGGAGGGTTGGAGCAGAGCTGTGCCCCTGTCACCGTCACCGTGTTGGTTGTCCCGGTCTCGTGGGTCTCACAAGGAGGGTTGGCACACAGCCGTGTCCCCGTGGTTGTCACCGTGTTGGTTGTCCCCGTCTCGTGGGTCTCGCAGGGGGGGTTGGCGCAGGGTGGCCTTGGTGCTGTCACCGTCACCGTGTTGGTTGTCCCCGTCTCGTGGGTCTCACAGGGGGGGTTGGAGCAGGGTGGCCTTGGTGCTGTCACTGTCACCGTGTTGGTTGTCCCGGTCTCGTGGGTCTCGCAGGGGGGGGTCTCACAGCTCGTGCCGGTGGCCGCCCCGGTGGCCGTCCCCACCTCAGGCTGTCCCCAGGGCGTTTGGCACGGGGCCGCCTCCTGCGTTTGGCACGAGGTGACACCGGAGGTGACGCCGCCATCAGGGGGGCACAACCGCGCCGTCATCGTCGTCCCGGTGGCCGCCGTCTGCTGCGTGGGGCAGGGCGGCCCCCCGGGCGTCCCCAGGCGTGCCGGCCCCGCCGCCGTGGGGGTGTTGGTGGTCCCGGTCTCGTGGGTCTCGCAGGGGGGGTTGGAGCAGGCCCGGGGGGGCGCTGGCACCGCTGTCCCCCCGCCCGTGTCCTCGCAGAGCAGCTGCAGCTGTCCCCCCCCCGTCCCCACGTTGGCCACCAGGCTGGTGGTGGCCGTGTTGGTGGTCCCGGTCTCGTGGGTCTCGCAGGGGGGGTTGGAGCACAGCCGTGTCCCCGTGGTTGTCACCGTGTTGGTTGTCCCGGTCTCGTGGGTCTCACAAGGAGGGTTGGCACACAGCCGTGTCCCCGTGGTTGTCACCGTGTTGGTTGTCCC